ATCTCTTCATTTTCAGCTCTCGTAAGTCATTCTCTGAATCGAACTCATTGTCTTTAATAACATCTATTTAGCTTTTTCCTTAAATTATCCAGACCTCACTCTTCTCGGGATGTGTATATCACTAGATGCTCTAAGAGGACATGTCCCTTATATTAAGCTATAAGTAAAGCTATCCCTGTGTAGAGGCCTTGCGACGAACTGATCACTCGCCCAAGGAGTCCTACCGAATGTGTAAGATCTAGTAAACCGAAGTTAACGGAGAGTTTCATGTAGGTAGGCCTAGGCCCAAATTGGGGCTGTAGCGCCACAGAAAAAAAAGCTATCCCTGTAACAGGCCGTGGAGGTCAATAGGGTTGTGAGACGTCGAGGCTCGGATATTTTCTAGACAGTCGGCCCACAGATGGCGGTGAGGTTGTCAACCTTACAAGCCCCCTGCCCTTTACCTCTCCTAGGAAAATGCCTGGTACTCATTTCTGTTAGAGGCGACAAGGGACCCACTCAACAATTAAGAAGCTACAAAAATATGATAAACTAAGGGGGATAACAAGCGTAAATTTGTGTTTCAGAAATCTGCCGCCAGGAGTTCAGACGGATATGGCATTCAGTGACATGAAATACCTGTTGGAACTCCTGGAACCCAGCGAACAAAACCAGACCAAATTCTTACGACTGCAGTCTATTCTGGACTATAACAACATCACGGTGGAGACTGTCATGAGGAGAGTAAGTTGTATCTCTACTATGCTACACTGTGTCAGCTTCCGGGTTGCAGTTTTCATGTGTTCGTTACAAAATAATGCACAAGACAAACGCGTAATAAGGTCAGATCTGCCTGCTTGATGCAGTTAATTTATTCCCAGAATAATTCCGGGGCCAACTCAGTGTCCTGCCAATAGGTACATGGATCTCTTCCTCCCAGAACAAAGAGGCCGGAGCTTGAAAATAACCATCCAGTTGCATCTAGTGCTGATATTCAGAATGTGAGGATCTCCATCTTCATTTCATTATCCGACTTCATGGTGCCGTGTTTCGGCGCAATAAATTCTCGTTTTGGGGCTTTCGCAACGAAAAGTTGCAATAATACGCCCATTCCCTTCACTACGTCTGTCCGCATGTAATAACTAGGGCCCGGATTTTTTGAAAATGCATATGCGCATATGCAAATGCATATTTTGAGGATTTTTGATCGTTACTGCATATTCTAAACGTATTCCGCAAATATGTTTGAAATTAAGGATAATTTCAATATTCTCTAACAAAACCGGTCTTTCCTGTGTTTTGGACATCTCTTACCAGTTGCTATTTTCAACTCTCTGAGTAACGGCACTTTTACCACTTACATTACAAGCAGGTAGCTTGGTTATTTCGAAAGAGAGGGGGTGGGATTTTCCTGCATTCCATTGCCCACCACAGCAGACAGTAGCATCAGAGGATTGGTCTTGAGAGAAGTTTCTTCAGTTAATGTGTTACTCTTTTCTTTAATAGTATGCATCAAAAAAAGTGTTCGTGTACTGAAAGTGCCTAAAGAAAAGTGCAACAGTAAAAAGGTAAAGCTATCCCTGTAACAGGCCGTGAAGGCCCATAGGGTTGTGAGACTTTAAGTGTCCCACATTATCTAGACAATCGGCTCAAAGATGGCGGTAAGGTTGTCAGCCTTACGCGCCGGCCGCGCTTCACTACCCAGGAAAACTATTTAATTAATTCCTGGTACTCATTTCTGTTGTAGATATTTAAAAAAATTGTGGGTGTCGGGTGATAGTGACTATTCAGCAGACGGTGTCGCCGTGTACTGTCAAGTGTGCGCAAAGAAGTAAAATGTAAAAAGAAATTTCAACTTGAACAACACTCAAGAACGACTGCATATACTACGGCAAAGCATGGGAAGAACAGCAAACCACAACTACTTCTTACACAGGTCAAACCCAAGTCCTCTGTTAATACATTTTCAGCCGATCTTTGTAAGGCTTTAGTATGCAGCAGCATTCCATGGAATAAATTAAGCGATCCAGTTGTGCGATCAATGTTGGAGAAATATTGTTAGTTTCTGACATCGGAGGGAACTGTGTCTGGATATCGATGGATGAGACAACAGATTTATTGACCGATACATAGCAAATTTCGTAGTTGGTAAGCTACATCCAGACGAACCCGACAAACCTCGTCTTGCTTGCAAAGTACTAGAGAAAACCAACCATAGCCACAATAACAAGATTTGTAAATGATTCTTTGCGACTACTATGGCCATCTGAAATTGAGAATAATTGTTGTATGGTGCTTGTGTTGCTCACAGATGGAGCTTAATATATGCTGAAAGCAGCAAAGGCCTTACAAGTATATTATCCAAATCTTATACACGTAACCTGTTTAGCGCACGGATTACACCGTATTACAGAAAAATACGCGCACAGTTTCCAGCTGTTAACGATTTAATTGCAAGTGGGAAAAACTGTTTCTGAAAGCACCAACTCGTGTCCAGTTCTACAAAGATTGCCTACCTCAGGTTCCTCTGCCACCTGAACCTGTCCTAACTAGGTGGGGGACATGGTTATCCGCTGTTTAATTTTATCAGGAGAATTTCAATCAAGTAAAAGAAGTGGTTGCTATACTTTAAGATGAGTATGCATGTGTCCGTGAAGCAAAAGCGGTGTTTGGATGTGATACTGTTTATCAAGATGTGAATTTTATCCATGCACATTTTTCTACAGTTTCAAAAGCCATCGAGAGCTTAGAATCTTGTGGTGAACTCCTTCACGACTCACTTGAACTCGTTCAGAAAGCAACTTGTTCACTGAATTCCGCTCCGGGCGAAATTGGAGAGAAGATTAAATTTAAGTTAGAAAATGTGTTGAATTCGAACCCAGGACTAAAAAAAAATTCAGTCAGTTAGTCAGTACTTGAGTGGAATTAGGGTATCTTTGCCAAATGAATGTTCCGAACCTTCGGCGCCAGTGTATAAATACTGTCCAATCACGTCAGTTGATGCAGAAATATAATTCTCAGCCTATACACTCATTTTTACGGACAATAGACGCAGTTTGTCTCCAGAAAACATTGAAAGACTTCTAGTTGCCTATTGTGACCCTACTTTCTGCAGTGAATGATACATGTAAATAGGTGAGTCTGAATGAAGTGACCTGTTTCTTAAGTGCATATTGTTTTATTTTTGGTGCATATTTTCCCGCTATTTAGCGCATTTTTAAGTGATTTTAGTGCATAAAGATCCGGGCCCTAGTAATAACCAAAGAACGGTCAAACGTGGTTTCATAATATTTTTCGTTGGAAAGTTTTCCTAAAAAAAATTGTCTTAACTCTTGAATTTTGGTTGAAATCGGACGGAATTACGTGCAATAGCAAAGGACAATTCACACGTAAACGGACGCAGGTTTCAGCGCGCATCTCGAAGGTAAATCTTCGGTTACTTGTTTGTTTCAAACAAAGATTGTAGAGAAAAATTAAATGCGTTATGATCAATACAATTTTTCGGTTTAGGGATTTCGAGGTAACAATGGAAGGAACGAATTAATAACTCTTTAATTATTCTTTGACCTACATTTCCCAGGTTTCCTTTTTATTTTTCAATATCTGTACCACGGTACACGTGTTTCTTTTCTTGTCTTATTCCTTTCCACATAGGCAGTGACGGTTCAGCGAGAGCTTATCCTAATATATCTTCCCTGATTCTTGCCACTCTCATTGTAGGTTGCCCCACAATGTGAGGACATGTTACTACGCTGTGTCTGGAAGGGCCGTATCCATGAATCATGTTCCACATTGTTCAAATTGCACAAGACTTATGAAGGCTACTGTTGCTCTTTCAATTACATCGGCATTAAAGGGGAGATCCAAATGTGCGTATATGTTCCAGTACTGAAAATTTATAAGTTATTATTAGACGTCAAATTTATTTTATACTAAAAACCTATATATATATATATATATATACAGTAGACTCTCGATTATCCGCGCGCTGTTTAACCGCTTTGCGGCTCAACCGCGGCAATGTATTTTTAAAGATTTTTTTTTTTCAGTGAGTATCACATTTGTTTAAATGTTTTGTATGACAGTCAATGTTAGTTTACTATAATTTAGAGAGAACTGTACTCGCATTTACGTCATCCATCGATATTCTCCCGTTATTTTTCTTAAAAGCTCGAAATCAGGTTTCGAAAGCTCGAAACCTACCCTTTTTCCAACAAGTAGAGAATGTTAAAGAACCTTGACCAGCAAGGAGCCATAAATCTGTCTGGTGTGAGACCTCAATTAGCAAAGGGACCAACAAAGACCAAACTCAGGCACCAGTCAATCTGTAGTAGTGGGAGGAAGGAGAGTTCTTTTNATCCAATATTTCGTTTAGGGGCATACCAAATGTTTCTAACGTCCTTATTCACTGTGGTACAATTTTGAAATATGCCTCAATTACAGATGAATCTTGCTGCACAGTTTTACAGTCACATGACTTCTTAGCTTGTTGGTCTGACACAGCATCACTGAAGTTCAAACAAACAATATATTAAACATAATTAAAAATCCTTACAAATTCAAATGAATATGATGTTGAGTCAATGATGAATGGAGATGCTTTATGCGTTGTCTTGTCAACATAATGTTGAAGGTTGTGTTATGTAAGATAAGCTAATAATCTCCTCTAAAATTTCTGTTTGATAGTGTCCTGTGTCATCTGTGCAGCGGGATGTGACAAACCAAGTCAAGATAAAATAACAGGCAAAATGATAGTTTTGTATATTTTAACCATTAGCCCTAAGTTTTCAAAATATTGTGTGCATGCTTAATATACTACAGCACAAAAAAATGTTTATATTCAGAGTATTGACTTCTGGGAAGTGACACACTGTAGTCTCTCGATCAGACTTCATGGTATCACATAACAAGTGACAATACACTTCAGACTCACCATTATGAGGACTTCAAACCTCAACATTTTATATTATTCACTGAAAAGATAAATGTCAATGCTTTCCTATATTTTGGATTGCACAGGCCCATGTAATATCCACTGATGTAAATGAAATTTGACTGATATTTATCTAAAATTAGTTAATTTTTGATAGGGGCCTATCTGAGCAGGACCGTGATACTCCTCTAAAAACCACAACAAGTGGCTATCGAATGGGACTTACTGTCCTTGTTCGCACCAACCCTGAGGAATATTATGCCACAAATCTTGCATCATTTGGAGTAAAAGTAAGTAATATTAATCAAAATATGAGCATAACCCCTCTTTTGTAATTTTATCTTCTTGGAGAACCATACATATTCAAAACTGAAAGGTAACAAGATTGTACGGTTCTTTTATTAAAGCAGGTGAAGAATGTTGACATATTGTAAAGGAACAGATGTGTGATTATACAGGTTTCAAATACACCCCTTTTCCAGCAATATTAACAGGTGTCCCACTGAAGTTCAGTTACTGAGATGGTCTAGGATTAGGATTTATAACCACTTTCAGCTCTTGTATTAATGAAAACTATATTTTCATAAAGCAATAAAAAAGCCTTATGTTGGGGTCCTGCATCCAGCTGGCTCTGATCTAGTATCAATTCCTAAACCATCCCATACACTATCTTAAAATTCAGTAAGGGAGGCTGTCACTGAAATTTGGGAAATTCTGATTCTCAGTCATATTGTTCCTCATTTACAAGAGGTCATAAATGGACTTTTCCTTGTCTCTCATAAATAGCTTTGCAGACATTGTTGAAATCTGATATGGAAGACTTCCACAAAAACTTGTTTGGCAGTGCCAATTTTCAGCCATACCAAACCATGATGAAGCCCTGTTTTGACTTCTCTATATATTTCAAAAAGGGTTTCACAGATTTTGTTGAAATCAGATGTGAGGGCTTTTCCCAAAAGATGTTTGATATCTGTGACTTTGACACATACTGGTTCATATTAACATCTAATTTATTAAGGTCATAAACGGGCTGTTCCTTTCCATAGATCTTGTTTAAATTTCACGTGGGAGACTGAAAGTTGCCAGACAGTTCTCATTTTCAGCCACATTGCTCCACAATAAAGCCTAGTTTATAGAAATCCATAAATGAGCTTTTCCATGCATCCCATACACTGTTCTTTAAATTTTGTTGGAATTCAATGTGGAAGACTTTCAATAATTTCAATTTCATTAGTTATACATAATATTACATATGACTAATAAACTTCAAAAAACTCCACTGGTATTTTTGTACACATTACAGATTACACCCTTCCCAGTCTTGTTTAAGTGGACATGTTTGCTTTGTTTCACGTTACTAGGTACTGGTTCATGACCCATTTGACTATCCTGATGTGAATACAGTGAAGAAGATGGTCTCCTTAAGGTCAGATATGTTTTTTTCCATCCCACCATGGGTCACATATTCAACACCAGAAGTGCGCAACATTCCTATAAATAACCGTGGTATGAGAGGATGTGTTTTTCCAGATGAGGTGAACTTGCGCAAGATGAAACAATATTCCTACAACAACTGTATCACCGAGTGTCGTGAGAATTACACCCTTGAAATATGTGGATGTACTCAATTTTACTATCCAAACAATGGTAGTATTGCTGATTCTAATAAAGTCAAATTCACATTACATATAACTGCATATAACTACATTTTATCCAAAAAATTTGTATCATATTTCCCACAGAATGAAGACCTGTTATTTTGAAAATTGAACACTGATCTCACAATTTATTAGAATTTTGGTCCAGCTACTTTATTTTAAAATTGAATGCTTGATATTAGCTTCTGAAATTTAATATACCTACCTGTAGATAATTAATCAAAATATAGTTTGGGGTAATAGTTGAAAGTCTGATTCAACTTCATTCTGACATTTCTAATTGTATGACTGGCAGCCCAGGCAATGATTTACCACATTTGTTCCCCGTCATAATATTAAAATTGAATAATTCTGTAATTTGTTAACCATAGTAATCTATTATCTCAGAATGCTTGGAACATAAAAGTGAAATAAACAATGAAATAAGCCTTGCTTACTTAGTCATAGAGCTGAGCCCTTCTGGAAGAGGCGCCAATTCTGCAGCTACTCAAGAATTTCCCAGCATTTTATGGAACCCGAAGTTTCATTACCATGTTCGCAAGAGCCCTCCACTGGTCCCTATCCTGAGCCAGATATAACCAATCCATACCATCCCATCTTATCTCTCTAATATCCATTCTAACATTATCCACCCACTTATGCCTTGGTCTTCCCTGTGGTCTCTTTCCTTCTGGCTTTCCCACCAATAGCCTATATGCATTCGTCTCCCCAATTATGCTACATGACCTGCCCACCTCATCCTCCTTGACTTGATCATTCTAATTATACTTGGAGAAGAGTACAAGTTATGAAGCTCCTCATTATGCAGTTTTCTCCAGCCTCCTGTCACTTCATCTCTTGTCAGTCCAAATATCTCCTCAACACCCTTGTTCCTAAATATATTATTTTAATTCAGTTTTATTTTTCATCCTCTTCTTTTTATAACACTACTTTTATTTATTTTTCCTTCATCTTTACTCTATAAGTGAAATTTCCACTTCAGATTTCTAAGGGAAATTGGATTAAAATATTAAGCTGAGTAAAACCTTAAATGGTAGAAATTTAACAGTTAGATTACTGTTTTGGCATCAATTAAATTGGTTCAAAATGGAAAACCTTAAAGTGAGGAACATTAAATGAGCCTATCACTGTATAGGATGAAAACTGGGACATAAATTCAACTGGCTCCAAACATAGTTCAATCTTGTGAATATAGTAATGAATCAGTTTTATAAAAACAGGAAATTTCTTGAAGAGCTAAAGAAGTGTCAGCTTTTCAAGGAAGACCTTGTTCCATAGATTTATTTTGCTAGATCTGAGACAATTTGTAACCAAATTGCTATTTAACCTATTCACCACGAAATGTGGTGACAATTTTAGCAAATATTGAAAACTAATAAATTCAGGTCTTACTATATTTCTTGTCATTCTCTCTACTTTGTATCAACTCTTCAACTTAAATTCCTCGCAAAGACACAGAAGTACAAACATTCAAAAAACATATACAGGTACGTATTCAGTGCTGGTGAGAAGAAAGAGAAGAGAATAAACTGTAAACAAGTATATTTGAAAATGAGTAGCTGGAAGAACTATGCCAACAAGAGCACATTCAGAATTGGTCCTGGAAGGGTTGAATATTGTTGCACAGAGTATGCATATTTGAGACACAGCAGGAAAACTATGAGTAGATGGCAATGAAATAAAATATTAGAATGTCTTTTCTGAATCCTTATTTCAATGTTCTTCTCTTTTACCAAACGTTATAGACAATCTGTCACAATAAGGATGAAATAGTGGAGAAAGAAACAAATAATATACTCCTATAAATCTCTAAAATGCAGCATAAGAAGTAAAATTCACTGTATGCTTCTATTTTCAGGTGGTTTCAGACTGTGTAATTTAACGGACATCTCTTGCCTGGCTAAAAACAAACGTGAGTCATATCTTAAAAAATATTCCCTCATTGTTTCTTCAATATATGAAGGACTAAATACATATCTGGCAGTACCAGTGACCAATGATGAATCACATACTAAAGTTAAAAAAAATAATTAGGAAGAATTACCTGAGTAGTGGAAGTAGTTCATTATTGTGCCAGTTCACATGAAGGGCAATGAAACTGACTGTAGTAATTATCAGAGAATATCACTGTTACCAACTTCATGCAAAATTGTATCCAGTATCATTCTCTCAAGGTTAAGTCCACATGCAGACAGAATTTTGGGGGATTCAATGTAACAAATAAACTACTGATCGGATATTTTGTATTCGTCAGATACTGGGGACAAAATGAGAATACGAGACAGTGTATCAGATATTCATAGGCTATAAGGTCTACAGTTCAGTAGCAGGGAAGTATTGCATAATAGTCTCATAGTGTTTGCTGTGCTCATGAAACTAGTTAGGCCGAACGAAATGTGTTTAAATGAAACCTATAGTAAACTCCATATAGGTAAATATTTGTCTGATATGTTTTCTGTTCAAAAAGATCTAAAACAAGAAAACGTTTTATCACCACTGCTTTTCAACTTTGATTAAGAATATGCCATTAGTAAGGTCCAGGAAAATCAGGCAGCACCGAAATTAAATGACACATCAGCTGCTGGTCTATGATAATGTAAATCTACTGTGAGTTAACGTAAATACCATAAAGAAAAATGTATAAACTCTAATCAATGCTGGTAAGGAGACTGGTCTAGAAGTTAATGCACAGAAAACTATGTAAGTATATGTTGATGTGTTGCCACCAGAATGTAGGGCAAAATCATAACATAAAAATAGTTAGCAGATCGTTTGAAAATGTGGCAAAGTTAAAAAATTCAGGAAGGATAGTAACAAATCAAAATCTGATAAACAAGGAAATAAAGTTCAGTACCTTCTGTCTTATCATCTGCCGCCTAAAAACGTAGAAACTGGAACATACAAAACTATAATTCTGCCTGTGGTTTTGTATGAATGCAAAACTTGGTCTCTGACATTAAGGGATAAATGTAGATTGAGTGTATTTGAGAACGGGGCGCTCGAGTGAATATTTGGACTAAAGAGTGATGAAGTGATAAGAAGTCGGAAAAAACTGCATAAAGGGGAGCTTTATAACTTGTACCCTTCGCTGAGTACAATTAGAACAATCAAGTCAAGAAGGATGAGATAGGCAGGGCATGCAGTGCGCATGGTGTTCCACAAGGATCAATTTTAGGTCCCTTACTTTTTCTTCTCTACATAAATGATCTCTCTAAAACCATCAANTACATAGGTGGAAGGATAATACTAAAATGGTTCTTAGAGAGATAGGATGGGGTGATAGGGAATGGATTGATATGGCTCAGGATAGGGACCAGTGCAGGTCTCTTGTGAACATGGTGATGAACCTTTGGGTTCCATGAAATGTCAGGAAATTCTTGAGTGGCTACATGACTGATGGCTTCTCAAAATTTCTCAGCTTCATTGAGATAGTTAACAAATATGTAACAAGTTACGCTCCAGATGGGTACAGAAATATATGCAGGTCTGCATGCAAAATGTCAGTCATGTTCGTCCGATTTTAAACAGAAGTGGAAAGTGCTGGCAAATTTGAGTAGAAGTCCCTAAGCTGTTACTTCAGGACCAATGTATGAATGAACAGACATACCAAAACTATTAGGTGCATTTTTAAAACTTTTGGATGTGACCACATGGATTAACCAAATTTGAAAGATGATCAGAATAGGAAGAACTGAATTACTAACTCTGAAAGTCTCAAATCTGGACAATCAGACGGTGATGGACCTTGTAACCAACATATAAAAATGATATGAGGTGGTCTGCAGCACTGATGAGCAGTCCTGACTGATCAATCAGATGGGTCTTCAGAGTGTCTTCAGAGTGGGATTGTCTCATTGATAGAAGAACTGTCAATATTGAGCTGAATACATCACCACATTAGTCAACTCTTAGGTAGGATTCTGGAGTAGCCCAGCAGAAGAGGCCAGTATATTCACTAATGCAATTGTGGAAATATCTGCCCAATCTTCAGGTTTAAATGGTATCTGATAGGTCTGCATAATATACTGTTTATTCAAATTAAATCTAAAATGTAATTTTAATATTTTAGGAAAACTGGAGATAATGAATCCAGGGCAGAAAAATTTCAAGAATGAAAATGAACCCTTCACTTATCCCTGCAACTGCCTCCCTGACTGTCTGAATTATTACTATCCTATAGAAGCTTCAGAAAACATACTTGCAATGGTTACAGTCAACAATAAGGACTTGATATAGTAAGTAACAGTATCACTAAACAGAACATAACCTCAGTTATAAGCATACGAGATTTGAGATTTTTACTGCAAGTGAAAATTTTGATTGTGTTCTTCTAGAATATGGCATTTGTGGCCTTATAGGTTGGTACCGCTGTTTTTAAGGAACACATTACATCTTTGTACCCTAAATATGGAAGCAGTAAGTTCCTCTGATATCCTGATAACCACATAACAGATAATGTGACAACATAACCCAGAACCTAACAATAAAAATAAGTTATAACTACATTCAAGGGACATCTTATGTAATTCTTTCCGATTGTAGCTTTAACTTAGGATAGCAAAATAGGCCGATTCTGAATTATTTAAAAATGCTGTCAACATTAGCCATTTACAGTAGAATGCAGCATGACATGATTATATATAAAGGGTTGGAATGAATGTGGAAGCAAATGGTTTTGGCCTGTTTTTGAGCTAGTATCTCAGTACTGGGTTGGGGGGCCAAGTTTCAGTAATTCACCTGAATTCTAGTTTAGTAAGGTGAAGTTGTCCCTGTGCTTAATTATTTAAGCACTATGCCATGAAGACATATGGGGGAGTGAATTCCAGTTTAGGACAGAAACAAATTTAAAAAACTCAGGAAGTAAAATAGGACAGGTGCCATACGATTATGTGACCAATTACATAAAAAGTTTTTTTTTTTTTAAATTCATTAAACAGAACTGTTGTCTTCCTTTACATAATCCACTGCACACTTGACCTACTGGTACTTCCTACAAAGAATTATATAGCTGTACCAATGCTCTCATAAAATGGACAGATGAGTAACTCCTTTTTTTCGCCCTCAAACTTACAAAGGAGAGTATTTCCACACTGCATGAACTAACAGATTCCAAGATTATAACATGGTTTCCTTGTTTTTCAATCATCTCCCTGCCAGCACTCATAGCATCGCCAGTATCCACACATATGGACAGCAGTAATGATTAGTCATGCAACAAAAAAGGGATCACATACCTTTTTTGTATGAAGTAATATATGCAGATTGCAGAAAGTGAATATACAGTGCCAACAGTGAATAAATAAGATAGAAGTAATATTATGGTAAAAATATATGTGAGAATAGTAAACTTGAAACTGAGACAATAGGCTAAAAATATTGGAGAGAAAAATATGTGGTTGCATAGAGAACATAACTGATTTAAATTTTACAGCTAAGGAGGTAAAAGTAAACGTAAAGTTATCCCTGTAACAGGCCATGGAGGCCCATAGGCTTGTGACACATCTAGGCTCACATATTTTCTTGACAATTGGATCATAGATGGTGGTGAGATTGTCAGCCTCACACGCTGGCCACCCTTTAATCCCAGGAGGTAACAGAAAGAGATGGGAGTTTGGGAAACATGCAGGTTTTGTTCTTACTGATATTGAAAAGACATACAATAATACTAACACCAAAAAAATTTGGAAAATGTTAAGAGAAAAAAATTCCAAAAGATTACTGGTGAAAATAAAGAATATTTACATATATTTTGGAAAAAGGAGGGCAAGGAACCTTAATTTTCTGAAACTTATGAAACAGTTAGACAGAGCACGGTTTTATCTCCATTGCTGTTCAACACTGTAATGGATGAGATAATATGAGGTAAGAATACCAGAGATTATGGTATATGTAGAGGAGAGTTAAGTGGAAACCAAATGAAAGTGTTTTAGAAACAACATTTTGTAGGTTGAATTTGAGGTTCCCACAACAATAAGGGTACTGTCTTCTGAGATATATGGCTGTGAAGTCTGGTGAAAGTCAACCATTCAAGATGAACAGGTACAGACATTAATTCAGTTAAAGTACGGTTTTGAAAGGCAGCACCACAGCTCAAGCGGTTAGTCGCTGACTTCCCACCATGGTGGCCCAGGTTTGATTGCGGGTCAGGTCAAGTGGAATTTGTGGTGGACAAAGTGGCGCTGGGGCTGGTACAATAGGCCACAAGTGGCCGCAGTACAAGGGACTTAGTCCCACCCCACTAGCAATAAAAAAATGGTTTTGAAAGGAGGGAAGCCAGGAGACAAAGGAAAGATAATTAATATGTAATAATCAAGAACTTTTGCAAGCGGAGAATTTAAGTGTTTAGGAAGTAAAATACTGACAAATTGAAGAGTTAAAGATACTGCAGAGAGGAATGAAAACGATGAGAATTTTACCAATTTGTTATGGATATACTTTGGAAATAGGAAAAGCCTATGAGAAAAATATGTGTTTAAAATTACTACACATATAATACAGGGTGTTCCTAAAAGAATGGTGGGGTTTTAGATACATATATATTTCGTATTTCCTACCGTGTACAATCATAACATGTGTCAATCGGAAGCTTAACTGTCCAAATTTTATGTACATCCATCAAAGTGCCTCTATGTGCGCACCTTTCGTTACCCGGCACACATCAATACAATAGTCGAATTCCTGCCACACCCGTTGCAACATTTCAGGTGTGATGGTCTCCACAGCATGATTGATTCTGTTTCGGAGATCCTGCAGTGATTGGGGCAATGGGGGTACATAAACCATGTCCTTCACGTACCCCCACAATAAGAAATCACATGGAGTTGTGTCCGGGGATCGGGGTGGCCACCGGAGAAGGGGGGCATCTTCACCTGCAGCATGTCCAATCCATCGTTGCGGAATGACCAGATTAAGCAAACCTCTCACAATGCTATGGAAATGTGGGGGAGCACCATCCTGTTGGAAAATGTAGTCCTTGGAATCACTGGCCAGTTGTAATGACTTTCTTGGACTTCTCTGATACCTCTCCCTCACTCTTTCCACGTCTGCATTTGGCACACGTGGCCGCCCAGAACTCTTGCCTTTACAGAGACATCCACTGTCCACAAACTGCTGGTACCATCTGCGAATGTTGTTTTCATGTGGCGCCTCCTTCTGAAAATGTACACGAAATTCACGGCGCACTGTAACGATGGATTTAGACACCTCAAATCTCAGCACGCAATAGGTCTTCTCCTGCTGGGTCGCCATCTTACATTTCACGCCTCCTAACTGTCGGAAATGGAACTAGGAAAGAGCGCGATATACAAAATGAAAATTTGAGAGCCGCGTTATGAGTCCGTATACGTTTTGCTTTTCATCACCAAAAACTGATGGAGATATACGGAAATGAAACCCCACCATTCTTTTAGGAACACCCGGTATATATATACATATACATACACATACAGAGGGGTCCAAAACATGTACTCACTCTTCGATAGTCAATATCTTTGGAACAAAATGACATGTAGTTAAAATTCTTGTGCGGAGAGAGAGAGACAGAGTCATTGTATGTATTTGAAGTGACCACCATCAGCGGCTAAACAGCGTCGATAGCGCCGAACTGCTGAGCAAACTACTGCTGTCAGTGTGTCCGGTGTGATGGCTGCACACGACGCTTCGATGGTTTCTCGTAGCACGTTCAGTGTAGCTGGCTTTTGTCGATAAACTTCATCCTTCAAGGTTCCCCATAGGTAGAAGTCAAGAGGTGTTAGGTCTGGAGACCGTGGTGGGTACTCAGTAGCACCTCTTCGACCTATCCATCGTCCAGGTAGAGTGTCATCCAAGTACGCCTTGACATCTCGATGGTAGTGAGGTGGAGCACCATCTTGTTGTAGGTAAAATCTCTCATCTCCAAACAGCTCTCGAATGGCAGGGAAAATTGATGTCTGAAGCATATCGAGATACACCTGACCAGTTATAGTACCTTCAAAGAAGAAAGGACCAATCAAACCACACGATGACAGATTACATCACACATTAAAACACCCGGTAGATTCACTTCCTTGCCCACATGAACATGTGGATTTACAGGAGCTGTTGGTGGCTGAGTTCCAAACTCGTTCTGCCATTGTCACTGTATCTCTTTAATGTTTTCGTACTTCCAGTACCACTTCAATACAGCCTTGCGTTGCTCAAAGAACAACCTTTTAGCCATTGTTGCTGCTCTCTTCTGCTCGCAGCAAGCACGCGACACAACACTCACGTGACTCATGTGACCTTCGCAATCTGTTGAGAAAACATTACACTACACTACTGCGCAATAATTGTAACTACATGTCATTTTGTTTCAAAGATACTGACTATCAAAGAGTAAGTATATTTTTTGGACCATCCTGTATATATAATATAATTATAATACATAGTGTATTAACATAAAAAAGTAAAGTTGTCCCTGTGCCTAACTATTTAAGCGGTCACCAAGAATGTGTATGGGGGAGTGGGTGCATAGACCCCCAATTTTTTCACCTTGGCACTAGTTGGAAATGAGTGGTTAGCTTCACTTCCCTGCCTCTTTACCCCCAGGGAAAGAGCTCCGGTACCCACTGGATAGGAGGCTGGGTGGGCCCCAGAACTTATATGGAAGAAGTGGAGAAGAAAAATGCTGACCCTACTGGGACTTGAACTTGACCCCTCGGTCGTTGAGTCTGTAGCCAGTCACTATACTGACTACCCTATCCTGGCTCTGTGCATATTAACATATGGAACAAACAGATGTGTGTGGACCAAAGGTAGATATTACTACAGAAATGGCTGGAGAAATGAAATATTTTACGAAGAAAGAAAAATAAAAATAGATATAATAAGAATCGAAAATATTAAAGACAATTTAAAGACAAAGATCTTAGAAGAAATATTAATATATAACAGAACAAAATTGTATTGTATGTACATGTTTTAGGAATGAATAAATATGGGATCCTAAAGGTTTTGAACGTAAAACAAAGAGGAAAACATCCAAGAGTTAAACCAAGACACTATAGATGAAAAGATTTGTCTGCATGACCAACCAAAGTAGAAATGTCTAGGGAAGAAAACAGAGATGATAAGAGTGTCAAATATATTGCAGAATGAATTTTTCAGCATGCATAAAATTACCAAAAATATACTAAGCCACTGTTCTCATGCAGCTGACAACTGAGAAGTGCTCTTCCTGTTATGTGATCTGAATAAATTGCTATGTTGTATGCAAGAATGGTATTAATCCTGCAATCACCTGTCTTCCCCTTGTACATATCATGCAAATCCCCAGTGTTACACAAATAATTTTTTCCTGTGTTCCAGTGGTGCTGGCATGAATACAGAAAATGACAGTGTGTTCAATGTCTATTTTAGCAATTTTCTGGTGACACGGTATCGACGAGATGTGGTTTACAGCTGGAAGGGATTACTTGGTGAGTTACTGAATATAATTGCAAGTCCCTATTAACAGTAAAGATGTGAATTTATTAATCACATTATATTTTCAGAAGTAATTTTGCTTTTTTATTAGCGACTTAATATTTGTTTCAACAAATATCTGTGTGGGGCACGCTGTAGCATAGTTGGTTGAGGCACTATGCTACTGGCCTGGAAGGTCATGGGTTGAAGTCCTGATGAGGTCATTGGATTTTTTTTAATTGACCTAATCCTTCCAGCTGTACTATGGTCCTGGGGTTGACTCAGTATCTAACAGAAATGAGTAGCAGGAATTAATTAAATAACTTCCTGGGGACTAAAGTGCGGCTGGCACGTAAGGCTGACAACCTTACCGCCATCTTTGAGCTGTCTAGATAATGTGGGACCCTCGTCTCAATGGGGATAGCTTTACTTCCTTGTTTTTAAATATGTGTGCATGCTCTGTAATATCATACCTAACAGGAGGTATTAAAAACTTGCTCAAATCTCTTCACAAAAAATCTGAAGTGATTTGGTGAAGTTCTTTACTGGATCACAAGGCCATGAGAAAATAAATGAGTCTTAAACAATATCTGTTGAGAGTCTGGAATGTTAACTACTGATGGAAGCGTGGTATTCTGCTGTTTAATGCATGTTACTATCTTACTTTATGAAGCAAATACAAAATTTATGGTAGTAAAAATACAATTTATATTAGCTTCCAATGATTTTCCTTTTATTTCTTGCAGAGTACAATATTTAAGAATCTGAACCGGGTGTAAAATATTTCTGTGGTTATAACATGTAGGTTACTTTATGTGACGAAGTTTCAAAGGAATCAAGACATTTTAGTAGCCACATGTATTAAAATTAGTTACTCTCTGTTGTAAAGTAACATTTTTAAATAGTTCATAGTTAAATTTTTAATAATTCAAAGAGAAAATTAGAAATTATATAATGAAGAGAATAAGCAAATGGAATTGCCAAAATGCAGGACAAAATTAAAAACTAAAAAACTAAACTAAACTAAAAAATAATTTGACAATTTAGCAAAGGTTCAAGCACTTGGAAGGGGCAATGTTTTCATGATGAAACAGACTACATTGAATTAAGGAAATGCTTATTTTCTTTCACTTCATAATAATTTATTTTTGCACATCCTGATTAAAAGTCTAAAGACTACTGATGTAGAAAACTACATTATCTCTTGTTCAGAACAGGGGTGAAATATCATTTTCAACTCTTAAGGGTTAGGCATATATGAGGGTTTTTCAAGTTAAACCCATTTGCAGATTCAGTCACAGCCATGATAGCGTAGTGGTTTCAATAGCAGACCATGAGGTTCTTGGCAGAGAGCAATGATTGACTGGTATGTCAGTGGGATGCTTGTCTCAAAGCCCATGGGGATTATTTTTAATGACCTCTACTCCTTCACCCAGAACAGTCCCCAGCTGTGTTTCACTTGAAAAAACCCTCATGAAAAAAAGTGTTTGAGAACCAAGATATGAGGACAATATTTGGATCCAGAAGAAATGGAGACACAAAGGACTTAAGACAACTGCTTGTATGGTAAAGTGAATAAATCAGGAAGGAATTAGATGGACTTGTTGTGTAGAATGCATGAAATAAGAAAAACCTAAAAAACCCTGCATATACTTGTAGAAGTAATAATGATATTAAAATGGATCTTGGAAATTCTTTGAATGCACTGATTAACTGTCAGCTTCCATAACAGGCAATTTCTTAAATATGATCATTATTTTGTACACTGTCCACCTTGCTGAATATTTCTGAACCCGATTCGTAAAATGGATATGTTTGTATCCTCAGATGCAAGGGAATACCAACAAGAACTTGAGGGGGGGGGGACCAGATCACAATGGACAATGTCTAAAATAATAGTCACGTTTATTGTTACAAGTCACCTCAGAAACAATTATACTTACACAATTTCTTGATCAGTGTAACAGCTATCAACCAACCAAGCAGGACTTAATTTCAATGGGTCACTTTACTGTCAGTGGTGATGTTATGTGGAACCTCACCTTGTACATTCCTGTTTGGATATCCTTTACAAATTTTCCTGAATACTAGTCAAATGTTAACATCAGTCTGACTTTTTTCCAGCATCTCTGGGTGGTTTACTAAGCCTGTTCATTGGCTTCAGCTTTATTGGAGGTGTTGAACTTCTGTATTTTTTTACATTCCGTCTGTACTATAGGATTCGTTCTCATGCCACTAGTCACCCATTTCTCTCACCTCTAGCTAACAGAAGAGCTCAGAATGTTGACAGACATGAGAGTTTTCAGTCTCATTTCTCCACTTCTACACATGTTAATATGTTCCAAAACAGCCATTGGAGGCCAAGCAACATGCAGGACATAACAGCGAACCCTTAATGCCGGACCAACTGTAATATGTACAATAACACTGTATTGATTACACAGGCCACGTAATGCCAAATGATACTTAAATGCTTATGAACAATATAAAGGAAGATATGTCATTTTAACATTGAAAGCATTACTATATGAGGGTACAAATGGAATGAACCTGTAAGTAACAGAATGTGTAACAAGTTGTAAGTAACAAAATGTAACAATTTGTGAATAAATATTCGCTGATAACTCAAGACTATGGCATATCTTATGGTAAGAGTTATATGTAAATGCAAGAATAAAGACTGATCTATCCAAAAATGATATTTCATTCCCAAAATAAAATTGTAATCTGTTTAAGCAATTACTAAAATCATGTAAACATTTTCCTAATTTTACAGACTTCCAACCAACTGTCATGGCTAAGCCATAAAAGTCGGATTGGGCATATTGCAAGTGAAATATGTTAATAAATGCAATCTTCTCAAAAATGCAATCATTTTGGACCATCGCTTACACCTTAGGAGTTATAACCATTTGTCTGTAACAAATACAGCTAATTAAATTCCTCTGTCACGTATCCTGCTAATGCGACAAGTATTTAATGGTTCCAGATTAGATTAACCTTTTAAAGCCTAATGGTTACTACGCACGACCTGGATTAACATACTAGAATTCTGCATTCTGCCCACACAGTGTGTTTAATATGGTTCTCACAATAAGCATCGAATGTTTTCCTAAACAGCATTAACTGGTTGGTCCTTGTAGCGGAGACACAATGTGTTTCCTGTGAGGTACGAACTGAATTGTTATATTTAGTTTGGAAAAAATTCAGTCTTT